AAGCCACTGGGTCCGGGACACGAACCACGGTCGACTACGTGGGAGTCCAGCGACATAGCCATTACGCTAACTGCTGGTTCCCTGGTTCCCTGATTTCTCACTTTCTATCTCTCTGTCTCTGTCTGGCAAGCGCACACGCCCTATAGCAAAAAATAATAATAATAATAACACCTCTCCAAAAAAAAAGGAAAAATAAGTAAATGGAATCAGATTTTAGCTTTGTTATCTCTTCCTCAAAGGTCATCTTTGACAGCCCGCTGCTCCAGATCAAGTTCCCATTTTATGTCCAGGAACAACACATACTTCCCTTCCCAGCACTCAGCTGTAATATTACAGTAATGTGTGTGGTTATTTGATTATTGTCTTCTCTCTTTTCTAGACTGCAAGTTTATTCTTGCAGAAAAAGCTGCTTTCACTTCCTAAAACAGGATTAGCCCTCCCTCGGGACAGCGATGTCTGGTTTTGCTCTCCCTAGAATCTCCTGCACCTACTACAGCGTTTATCACCAAAAATAATCTCTTAAAATTTGTTGGATAGGGGCCAGCAGTTGGCATAATGGCTATGTCGCTGGACTCCCATGTTGTCGACCACAGTTCGAGTCCCGGACCTGGTGGCTTAAATTCATGACCGATGCGTGTGCATGTGTGCCCAAGATCCCGAGCCAAGGCACTGCGGCGTGGCCATCCCCCTGGGGGGAGATTTCTCGCTTTCTCGCTGTCTGTCTTTCTGGCAAGCGCATGGGCCCGATAGCAAAAACCTCTCCAAAAAAATTTTTTGTTGGACAAATGAATGAGATACAAAAGCCAAATTGTGGTTCCCCGTGGATCTGACCACTGTCTTAGTCTGGGGGAAATGTTACGACACCCCAGGAGACTAAGGTAATGCGGCAGTTTCTCTGAGACAGGGCACTATCCATTTCAAGGACTTAGGAGACGGCGGCAAGGAGTTCTTGGGAACGGCTCAGTCTGGGAAGACACGACTTCCTCCGCGGGCGCGTCCATCACTGACATATGTGTGCACAACAGCTCGTTCTCGCTCCGCGAAGTCGGGCCGCAGTCTGGGCCTCACTTCGTACCAAGATGGTGGTGCCCGCGAAGGAAAACCGGGTCCAAGATGGCGGCTTCCGGCTGCCCCCGAGTTTCGCGCGCGGCCGGAGGCCACGCCCACTTCCGGCCCCGCCGCGTCAGCATGGCCGCCGTAGGGACTCTGCTGCTGAGGGGGTGGCTATGGGCTC